CATAATCAATATAGTCTCTCCATGATTCACTAACACATATAGATCAACATTTTTAGCCGAAGTTGGCTTTCCAGAACTGTCAATACTTTTTCTTCGTTTACATTTTGTGATCAGTGCTTTCTCTATAATGTACCAGGATCAAGACACCGGGAGTCCGTGAAGCTTGTGCCTCTGGACTACGACATGCCACTTGAGGATAGTTTCCTTCACAAATCCTTTAGTAGGATCCATCCTCAATTCGAATAGCTTGCAGTTGTTACAAACAAGGATTTTGCTGTCGCCACAAAGGATCGAAGCTCCATGACGAACTCGCCCATTACCATCAAATTTAGGATGGTTAGAACTCGTAAGGATAATCTTGCAACACTGAGTATAAGTTATAACTCTCCAGATTCCCTTGCAAGTATACATATTGTTATCCTAGTGATAAGAGGCAATGCAACCCTATTCCACAAATTATCGGCCTCCAATATTATAGTCGCTTTTTAGACAAGTCCATCCCCATGGCAGTGTTCTCTTCCAACAAAGTGCTGGGAGAATCTTAGACTGCCCTCGACTGCAAAGAGAGATTAGGGTTTATCAGAATGGTGGCGTCGTTTTAGATTCTTGTGTTGCTCGATTCTAAGTGGACCAGTCAGTGCTGTTGCCACAAGAAAGTTTTTGCGTAGATCCATGTAAGGTCTTCGCACCTTTTGCTGAGTGTGAGTCATTTGCTGTTTCTTTTTCAGGTGTGTATCCTCCACGAGCTATATGCTCACACCTTGTGTAAAAACGATCTTGCAGGTCGCATCTGGTTCGTGGACACACCTGAATAACAGCAAGATCTTTCTTTTCTACGCAAAAAAACCACCAGAGGGACGAGATGCATTCGCCTTGTGGAAATTTCAATCGTGGATACAAAAATGGCAAGATCAGGATTTAAAGTTCAGTGAAAGTCACACCTGATCAAGAATATGTTGTCCGGTTTTATTGAAAAACCTCTGGAAGGAAACTTTTTGTGCTCTTTTTCAGATACAAGTCGGAGTCTACGACAGGGAAATGTCCAAGGTAATTCCAAAAAGTACGTTTTTAACATTTGTACAGGAAAAAGCAAATGATAATGGTTGCAGTGGACACCACTATAATTAGCAGATGATCGAGCACGATATCGCTACGAGCTAGGCCGTCAGTGCATATAAGCGCTTGTACCCGAGATATTACATCGTGTATCGTCCTCCCAAGGCGGAGGCAAGGAACTGCACGTTGAGCTTAGAGAGGAAACCGGGAGCGTGAAGCTGCAGTGATGAAATCTCTTTTGTCTTTTATTTCTGCTGATGTGGAACTTGCGCACTTGTGTAGGATAAGCTCATGGCGAGTTTTGGAAATTTTGAAACAAGCTTGGCACCAGGAGCGTTTTGTAAGTTCTTGTAGAAACAATCTACATCTTAACGGTTGTGATTTCGCAGGGAGAGTCCCTATGTCCGGTCTGACGTCGGCTGTCAAAGTCCATTCGTCCAGTTTTACATCCCTCGCATGAACTCCCTTTGCAGCCAACGTTGTAGAGGGGTTTACAAGACTAGAACAAGCGTGTTCGTGCAGTGTCTACGATCCGCTGATGATGCTACTGGAGCGGCTTTCTGCACTATACTAAGGCTTGTTTCAAGGAGCCCTGTTCTCGATTAGTTGTTCTGTTCACGAAGCGACGGAGGCGTCTACACTGCCTCTGCTTTGTCTGGCAGCCAAAGACACGCAGCGGCAAACTGTTCTACTCTATGCAGGTCACAAAGCGATTTTATTTCAGGCCCGAACACCGTTAAAAGGTTGTCTTTGTAAAACCGTGGAATTAATATGTATAACTTCTCATATAATCTTATGTTGATTGTTAAGTGCCTTTGTGATCCATCCATTTCATCGGCAAGTCCCTCACAATCAGCCCTTTTCTCCAAAAAGTAATAAGCTGGCAATACATGCGAACCAAAAGCTGACCTTTAGACTTACGTCCGGATAACAAATCCTTGACCATATTTATTTCACAAATATGGAATTTTTCGGAAATATCAAAGCTCTTACCAGAGTTCTTCACCGACTTCCAATTTTCTAACTTAGAAATTGTATGTAGATGCCTAAAAGTTCCCTGGCTCACATACTTTATTAATGACGAATTCAACCATGTCCTTACCATGGATATCGGCATTATTCATTCTAGAAAAATGGCAACCAAAATTCGTTGCAGCTTTAACCATATTCCACCTGGGGTACTTGTTTAAGCGGCTGTATTTGGGCAATACATGCCCAACTAAAAACAATTGTTGTGGTTATAGAAATTTGTAGAAAATGGGAGGAACTAATATGAAGTATTTGCTCATGGTGGGGTTTCAACTCTCCTTCAGGAGGAGACATTGAGGTTTTATGATCCACTTTAAGCAATAAAATCATAACATTACTCCCACAATAGGATCATATTGAAAAGAATACATTCCCATATTTCATGGACACATATAAATCATATAAATGAATGTTTCGATGGCTAACAAATGCAATAGCATATAAATGAATGTTTCGATGGCTAACAAATGCAATAGCATGTATCTATACAAATCTCAAGATATATAGGTGACTGTTTGTTATCAATGGACCTTTAGCCCAAGAAGGTCAGAAAATATAAAACAAGTTTACATGCTAGAATACTTAGAGGTGAAAGAAGAGAGGATCACAACCAAACCACATGAAAAGACTATAAGTTTTCTACAAGTTACAATCACTATCAATACATTTAATGGAAAATATACCTTAAAAAAGTAATACAAATTCTATGACCCAATAGCATGCTTAAGCATTGAATATTATGGCCATATCTCCAAATTTAACACTAACATCCATAAAAATATAAAATGAACATCCAAGGCTTGATCTTGACGACTATATCTTCAGATATCTATATTGCATTAACACTCTTATTCAACCATTTTCAAGATCTAATGTGAAGCTAAAACACTAATAAAAAAAATGACATAAAAAATCAAAGTTTAAGAAAAATTCATTATCACTCAAAATAACAATACCAACCAACCTAATAATTGCAACTCAATATAATCTTAATAGAGTGCAAAACTATTAAACTATTGTCTTCAATTTGAAATATGATATCCTACATATAATAAAAGATGAGCTTCTTTTTAATATACAAAAATAACTTCACTTAGCATCAAATCGGCCTATTTCCACCTCATATAATATTATATGTTCACAAGTTGCCCTCATTCCATATTCATCTATAGTCAAGATCACAATCAGCTCAATCATTCAAATTAAAAAGCCTTGTGACATAAAAAAACTAATTAATCACTTCAAAAGAGGTAAAACTCAAGGTTTTTCTCTAAAAAAATCTATATACTAATCTACTTTTCATAGAGCAAAAGGAGAGAACATTGTATTTTGCAAATATATGGTGGGCAGTAGCACCTACTACAGTGGGTGCTACCATATGCACTACTGTAATGGTTGTTCTACGGGAGTGGAGGGTATCTTCCCAGAGAAATACACTGATCTCAACACAAATACTAAATAAACTTCTGACTCCAATTCTTTAGGGCAAAAGTGAAAACTGTGAGATAAAAAAATTAAGTTAAGCTTAATTGATTTGTTTGCAATGGCAAATCCAGCAACCACTCAGTACAACACTGCACCTTCTAGCTGTATAATCCAATATGTTTAGAGTAATATTTTACCTCATTGACTATCTCTTCAATTCTATTCTGCTACATTCTCTAAACTCTGATCCAGATGTGATAACAAAGGGTTCTGTGGCTTCAACACTTGAATTTCCATTGGTTCGGTTTGTTAATGGGACATTTTTATTGGATGGTGCCTAGCATGCCATGTGGCACTTTGTGAGGGGAGAGGAAAAGGACATGCATATAGTAAGGGCATTTGCATTCTAGATTTCATGATACCTTGGAGGTGGCAGTCGTTTTCAAGTGGTGCCACAGTCTTCAGCGTGAAACAGGCTCACAAAGCTTCTCCATTGTTCTAAGAGCTGTGGGAGCAGTGGCTTTCCAACTGATGACTCTACTGTCCTTCAAAGTCTTTCTTTACTTGTTCCATAAGACCGTCCTATGTTTCCTTTTTTCTATGTAGATACTACTGATTGCGTTGCAAAACAATACCGGGCTATGTTTGCTGTGTGGAAGACTATGTTGCGGGACTGGTTGTTAGCTCTGATCTACACTGTCGTTTCATCTTATGTTAAATTTCTTTTCTGCTCTGTAGTGTACAAATCCATAGCGTTCGTCCACGAGTAAGCAATTGTATTTTGGGAGTGAGTTTATTAAACACTCACTTGTTTCAGAAAACACATGTTGTTCGTCTCTGCTGAGAGCAGACAAATGTGGCCATCACTTATTTAACTTTTCTTTAGGTTTATCTGCAAGAAGCTCTAGAAACCTCTTCCCCACTCAAAATAAACTAATGTGGGAGGAAATTGCAAAACATCACTCTAAAGTTCTCATGCAAACACTCAGCAGAGCAATTCAGTTAAGATCTATCAAGAAAAGATGAATTTGTGAGCTTGCACTAATGTTGCATATGGCACTAAAATAAAATTGATTGCATCCAAAAGTTAAATTTTGCAACTTCGTGATCAAGCTGTAAGGTATGATAAGATCTACTAACCCAAGATCTAGATCAAATGAAGAAAGAAAATGAAAAACAACTTTCAAACATTTGACATTAGCGTTCAATGTCTGAACCTAAAAACTTGGTAGTGGATATGGTTTGATGTGCCGTACAGGCTCTCCACTTGGCAGCCACGAAACGAACATAAGATATCGCCTTGAGGAGGATGCAAGAGTTTGATCTAAGGAGGTTCTCTTTCTACTTTTTTTTATTTTTCTAGCTATTCACGGACTTGCCTCTCTTACAATGTATGAGGGCATCGTGGCCGTTGAGTAGGAAAATCATCGTAGCCGTTGGAGCGCCTTCTAAAACGCTCTGATATTTAGGGTTCGTCGTGTTCTAGAGCAATGGGCAAGCCCAGGCAGAGGAAAGAGGACTCGCCACATGTGAAGCATTTGAAGCAGGTAAGTTCTATCTTTTTTACGCTCTTTGATTTGATCTCCTTTTCAGCTGGCCAAGAGTCATCCGACTGGATTAACCCCAAATTTGCTGCGGCTGTTCGATCCTCCGCCCCCGGTGGAGTACAAGGAGCCGATCGAGAAGAAAGAATTGCCTCCCTACACTGGCATCGCGCAATTCGTCAGCTGTTTTGAGAACCTATCGATCGATGATCAGGAATCCCAGGCGAAAGTGGAGACCACCGCCGAAAGAAGGGCGAGAGTGAATGCCGCTCGCTTGGAGAAGGGAAAGGAGAAATTGGCCGAAGAGATTCCAAAGTGTAAGTTCACTTGCGTTCTTTCTTTCTTCCTTTTTCTTTTTTCCTTTCGGTACCATCACTCGTGATCTTTCCAGATGATCCTCGTTCCGATCCCAATGCTCGAGGTGATCCATACAAGACGCTTTTCATCGGCAAGCTTGTAAGTTTTCTCATCGTTTTTTTTGTCATATCCGTTTTACCATTTAGCTTTCCAGAGCTACGACACAACCGAGCACCGGCTACAGCGTGAATTCGAACGGTATGGTCCGGTTAAAAGGGTAAGTACCATGGCTTGAGTGCGAGCATGGTGGTAAGTGCATGAATTTTTTATTTTTTTTGCCTTTGGTCCTAAAGATGGTGTGTCTCAGTCCAGTTCATGCTTCTCAAATGAGGTCTCTTGTCTCTCTCTATAGCTAGCCAGGTGAGTCTTTTCTTTCTTTTCTCCTTCGCAGTGTCTCTAAGATTCTTTCCTTAGGTACGCCTTGTCCACGATAAGCACACTGACAAGCCCCGCGGATACGCCTTCGTGGAATTCTACCACAGCCAAGACATGAAAAGTGGGTTTCGTTTTCTCTTCGCGCACAACACAGCAAGCTAAACGTTTTCTTTTCTTTTTCCCTTCATTGCAGATGCTTACAAGCACGCTGATGGAACCAAGATTGACAACCGCCGAATTCTCGTAGACGTTGAGAGAGGCAGGACGGTCAAGGACTGGCTTCCAAAGAGACTCGGTGGTGGACTGGGAAACGCTCGAAGCTCGCAGCCGGAGGCCACTCCACAGCGAGGACGATATCGAGGTGATTATAGACGGAGGGAGGAAGAGGCTGCTAGAGAAAAGAGAAGGGGCGAGAAAAGAGGTCGTGGTTCCGATAGTTAAGCTAGGAAACAGGGAGGTGAGAGGTAGAGTAGAGACTTCCTTTTTGCTGTTAGGTTTTTAGAGTGAGCCGAGGAAGGGTAATGGTCCTGTGGGACTCGGAGAGACTTAGAGACTGGGAGAGTGAGATGGGTTCCAAGATCGGCACACTGCCGTGTTTCACAAAGACGATCACTCGAGTAGCGGTATCAAAGGACTACCCGGGATGCCTGGTAAGCTCTCTCGATCTCTAGAAGACGAACTAACTTGTGATGCCGCGCCACAGCCTATTCCAAAGGAGTTTCACGACGAGCAGCGCGGCAAGCTGGCCAGCGAAGCGGTGCTCAAGATCAACTCCCACAAGAAATGGGTGGTGAAGGTTGCGGTGCTGAAGAGCTCCACGTATGCGTTTCGGGGGCCCGGGTGGACTGCTTTTGCGAGGGACAACGAGCTCGAGATCGACGACCAGGTGATGTTCACCATGCTCAGTCCCAGCCTCTTCTCGGTGAAGATAACGCGGGCGGGGGAGGACTCGGATGCCAGGCGGAATGTCAAGGTGAAGCAGGAGCAGCCGGAGGTGGAGTCGGCTGTTGCAGAGACCGTGATGCCGGGCGTGGAAGAAGAAACTGTAGCCTCAAAGTTTGTGGAAGATCCGACTGCTGCAGCTGCTGCTGCTACTGCACCTGCGACTGCCACTTCTCCAGCTCCAGAGTCGGAAGATCAGTTTGAACTGAGGAAGAGGACTGCCCAGGAGCAAGAGCTCCAGCATGGTCCTCCAAGGAAAGCTGCTCGGTTGGAGGATGATGAAGTTCATGCTGCACCGGTAGCAGCAGCAACACCAGTAACACCAGCCAGCGAGATGGTAACCCCGGAAAGAGCAGAGCGAAGGCAGTCACTGGGAACAGCACAGGACCCGCTAGAGATCGATATGTCTGGAGGACAAGGTGCCGCGGAGGAAGCAGGAATACACCTGGTGCTGAAAACCGAGAGGAAGAACTTCAAGGTCTTTATTTCTGTCTCCGCCATCGAGGCGGCTGCTGCTGCCAACACTGCTACACCGGAGCCGGACGTTACGAATAACACTGGCGTGGTGGAGAATCCTGCTGTCACGGCACCCGATACTCCTGTTGCCGAGCCGGAGAATCCAGTGAACGTTTTGGAGACCAAGCCTCAAATTGCTGCTGCGTCTGATGCTACCGCTGCTACTGCTGCTGCTGCTGCTGCTACTGCTGCTGCTGCTGCTGCTGCTGCTGCTGCTGCTGCTGCTGCTGCTACAACTCCACTGCCGAGGATAACCATTCCCATCCGGACGACCAACGTCGCTCCCTACTCTCGACTGGTAAGAGTCGCTCTTTTCGTCTCCTTTGCCTGACTTTGGTTCCTCCAGACGATCGAGAAGGCGTTTGCGTTGCGGTGGCTTCCGCCACAGACGTGCATGGTGAAGCTGGTTGACAGAGCCGGCAAAGAATGGGAAATGAGGTGGATTGTGGCGAGGAAGCGGATGCTCACACAGGGCTGGTCGGCCATCGTCAAGCACTACAAGATGAGGATCGGGGATCTGTGCACGCTGGAGGTTGTCAACCCCAGGACGCTGAGGTTCTTCGTCACGGACAGCTTGGGAGCAGTGGTGGAGCGGCACTAGAGCAGCTATAAGTCTTTGGATTTATAACCTGTGTGTTGTAACATCTTTAGAAAATTTCTTGGAATGGAAAGACCTTCCTTTACCTCAAAGCAAGATGTGATCGATCGATTGCAAAGAAGAAGATCAGTTGTTACTATCTGGAAAATCGAGACCAGAGGTATACAAAGAAGAAGCAAACCAGAGCAAACATGACGACGTGGAGGACGTGGTTGGAGCTATGTTGTGCCATCGCTCTGGATAGTCTGTTCATGCTGTTCTTGAGCCCAGCACCAGCCTTGGCCATCGTTTCTTCCTAGGAGAATGAAGAACGAAAAAAGGAAGAAAGATAAGAGCCAAATAAAAAAGAAGATATCATCGAAGAAAAGAGAGAGCTATGATAGATCAAACGATTATACCAGCTGATTGAGAAGGTCATTTTGGTACTTCGTTTCCTGCTCGATTTCCTTCGCAACCTGTGGAGATCGGTCGTGAGAATCTTCTCTTGATTGATCCAAACCCTTACATTCTTCAAGAGGACCACTCGCTGGTGGAGATCCTGGACGTGATCGTCGAGATCGCCGTGGACGGGATCGATCCGGAGCTGGACGTGTTCCTCCCGCTGTGGCAGCCGATTGGAGCTCTGCCTCTGCCTGGACGATCGGATCTAGACAATGAGGAGAGAGCGAGAGAGAGCGAGAGAGAATCACCTGGAATTGCTAGCGCTCCCGCTAAACGCCATCGTTGTCGCGAAGAACCCTAACCCTTTTGCCCTAGAACAGGGGAGGGAATGTTGGTGTTGGATGAGACGATGAGGCGCTGGAAATTATTTTTGGGGTCTGTTGCTAGATTCTCGAGGTCACCCCACATTTCCAGGAGTATCTCCAGCCGCGGCGATTCAAGATCTCTGGTGAGCGAAAAGAATCCTCCTCTTCGATCTTCCAGGCATTTTGCTGCTCCAATGGACGTGGCCGCGATCAATGCCGCGCAAGAATGGATCCACATCCACAGCAGCTCTTTCCAGCGCCGGGATTCACACAGAGTGGCAGCGGCAATCACCCGGCACGATCGGGACAAGCGCGGCGAGCCTCTTCTCGCAAACTGGAAGTTCCAGTTCGGCAGCTTTGACGTTTTCCAGTTTGGCACCATGGAAATGGTCTCCATCCAGGCCAAAAGCCTGGAAAAATCTCAGCAAGATGGCATGATCCAGCAGCTTGCTCCCTCTCTTCTTCCAGCAAGCCTGGAGGAGCTCCAGTTTGGCAGCGTGGATCATCACCTCCTCGAGCGAAGGACGGCTAGATCGGTGAAAAACTATGAAGAAGGAGGAGGAGGAGGAGGAGGAGGAGATCTTCTTCTCACTGCTCGGCTAGCGAGAAAACGCTACCAAAGCGAGGAAGAACAAATAGTTAAAAACTCTTTGTCCACGTCCACAATGGGGCTTTCCTTTTCATGTGGGAAGCGTGGCTTCCTCTCTAGTGGTGAAGGGGTGGCGACTACTAAACGCTCCAAGGCAGCCATGAGGTCCTTCTCCAGCTCTTCGCAGCCGGATCTCCTTCCCCAGGTGCTCAAGTTCAAGCTCCCTTCCGGAGAATGCAAGCTCGTCCTCCAGCGAGGGGATATCACAAAGTGGAAGATTGATGGAGAGTCGGATGCCATCGTGAATGCGGCCAACGAGCTAATGATGGGAGGCGGTGGAGTGGACGGAGGTTCGTAAGGTTTCTTTTCCTTTTTTTCTTTTCTTCCAAAGCTTTAGTGTTTGATCGATCGTAAGACAGTTCTTTCTTTCTTTTCTTGCAGCGATCCATCGTGCCGCTGGAGGAGAGCTACTCCGTGCTTGTAGGGACTTGCCTAGCCACGGTGGTGTTCGTTGTGGCGTTGGAATGGCCGTGGAGACACCGTAAGTTTTCTTCTTGGTACTCCTCTTTTTCATTTTGTTCTTGATTGAAGTTTTTTTCCAGGGGCTTCCAGCTGCCTGTGCGGCGGATTATCCACACCGTAGGCCCGGTTTATGACAAGGAAGTGAAAGATGACTGTGCTTCTTATCTTGCAAGTGCTTACAGGTAAGTGAGAAAAGAAAAAAGAATAATGAAGCTTTGCTGTTTTTTTTGCTCAGGAACTCGATAAAGCTTGCAAGGGAGAAGGGCGTCAAGTACATCGCATTCCCGGCCATCTCCTGTGGGATCTACGGGTAAAAGCTTCCTTGTTTAAATCCTCGATGATTGAATGAATGTTATGCAGATATCCATTGGACGACGCTGCCAAGATCTCGTTGAATACCATCAAAGAAAATTCTGAGGGCTTTTCAGAGGTGAGTGATCCTTTATTTTGTTCTCCTTCTATCTTGCTTGAACTTTCCTGTTTTCGTTTTTGTAGATCCATTTTGTTTTGTTTGAGCCTAGTGCTTGGCAGACTTGGGTGGATTTAGCAAAACTCAATTTTGAGCAAGATGTGAGTGGTTAATCTTAATTGAATATTTAAGATTAAACAAATGTTCAAGTAAAATAATTTACTTTAAAAACACAAACTAAAAACTCTTTCAAACTAAAATTTAAAAATCTAATTACTTTAGAAAAACTTTATATAAAATCTATATATAAAATTTAGTAAAATTGATAGTAAAAGAGTTGATTAAATATAGTTAAAATTGACTAGAAATATATAAGTAACTATAAAAGCAAGGGTGATGACAATATTTGTAAAATATTTTATATGTAATACAAAATTTTCTTAAAATTTACAAATCAAAAATTTATAAAAAATGTTTTAAAAAGGAGTATAACATTAAAAAAATGACAACACTTCAAAAATTGTGGTAAATCCTAAAATTGTAATCAGTTATGCAAAAATAAATTATGTTTATCAAAAAACAAGGGAAAGTATTACCTGCTAAAGTTCAAATACAAAGTCTTAAAAAATTCAATATACTTGGAAGTTTGAAATTCTGAAATTAAAAATTGCAAGCATAACAAAGCTTAATAAAAAGAAAAAGATACCAAATGTCCCATGTTTTAATATATGACTAATTTTCAAGTATATCACACTTGGAAGTGCTGATCTGCAAAATAAAACAGAAAAATAATTAATGCTATTTTTTATTTCATGAAAATAATTTTATTTGCAAAAATAATTAGCTTTTTCAATATGATGAACAAAGGGTAAATAAAAAATAATTTCAAGAAGAAGTAATGTTTCCTTTGATAACCATGAATATTAAAATGTTTAAAATTTTGAAACAAAGATTTAATTTTGAAACTGTAAATAGCAAAATAAACTAAAATAATATTTTTGAGAAAATATTATAGAGGTATTGTGAGTATCTAGTTTCTTTTATTAAAAAGTAGCTTTATTAAATAATTATATAAATTAAATATATTCTCTGTTTCTTAAGACATATAACACTTGTGTGAGAAATAAAAAATCTTATGATAAATATTTTTCATTCTTGATTATAAAGTAATTTCTTTTACAAAGTATTTATCTGTTCTTATTAAGGAAAAATCTTAAAAATTATATAATAATTTGCAATATTATACAGTAACAGTTAATTTTCTTTGATATTTTATATATTTTCTTTATTTTAAAAATTTTCGATTGACATATGTAATATTTCTAAATTGGTTAGGATCAGCACATTGAAATGCTTTGAAAGGCTCACCGGCCGTTCATTTTTCCAGCCTTGTGGACGTCGTCAGAAACTGTCTCCATTCAAATACATCACGTGCCTGGCATTGGTTTTCATTTGAAGCAGTATCAAGCTGCAAGATTCATCACCCGCAGCTATGAGCAACACTGATCTGTATTATGGTGCACCGGGCAGTCCCTTGGATCTCATCCCGGAAGCTCCTTGGGCCTTGCCACGGAGAAGTGATGATAGTGTTTGCCAGTTTGTCACTGGTAGCAGCGGTGCCAGTCCAACTCCGTCTCACTGCAGCTGCCGATGCAAGCACTACAGTCAAGTGCACTGCGTACCATGGTTTACCTATAAGGTGCTCTCTCATTTCTTTTCATTTTTTTTTTCCTCTTTTAGTTGATACTGATCTTACAAATTACTAGTACCGGAAGCACCATGCTGCCTTAGACGAAGAAAACCTGTTTATCAAGTCCCTTGACATGATTAAATATGAGCACTCATGGTACAAACTTCAAGTAACAGGACAGTCACCGATATGTCGTTCCAAGGTGTGATTTTTCTATCTTGTGCTGTTGCTTAGTTTTTCTGGCGTATTTTCTGTAGCATGCGGCAATGGTAGGTCGAAGAATGTTCGTTGTGGGTGGCATTTTCTGGAGCTTGTTAAACGACGTCCAGGTACCAATCAAGTGTTTCTATTGCTCAAATTAATCCTCTACTTAACAGGAACTAAATACGGTTACGGGTGAATGGAGGGAATGGAGTTTATGGGTTCCGGAACTGGGGTATCCTGGCCCTCATTGTGCCGGCCATAGCTTGGTAGTGTCAGTCTCGAACTATACCTTTTGTTTTTACGAGCATTTTTTGCAGGTGTTCTGGGAGAAGAAGCTGCTTGTTCTTGGAGGCCATTAGAACCGATGAAGAAGATCTTGGAAGGTTTGCTAGCAGTAGTTCTATAAACAATTTAACCAAGCGCTCAAACCTGCAGTCATTGCTTTTGAACTGGAAACACGAAAGCTTGACGTGGGTGGAGAAATACCGGTATGTGCTCCTTAACATTTGTCCAGAATGACTAACGGTTTATCACCTTGCAGATGGCTCGCATCGGCCACAGCATCGTTCATGTTGGTTCCATGCCGATTATGTTTGGTGGCGAGGATGCCAGAGGCCAGCTGAGAAATGATATTCAATCTGGATCTCAAAACGTTTTCATGGCTTCCTTGCAGCACCATGTACAGCTTTCCATTGTCTCTTCCTACCACTCACTGACCCTTGTGTTTCCTTGATGCAGTGGCTCAAAGCCTTGTCCAAGGAAATGTCATACTGCTGCATGCTACGGCGGGCGTTACCTGTGGATTTTTGGTGGAAATCAAGAACTTCTTATCTTAGCTAGATCTACGTGCGGTAAGTCCGTTGTCCTGTTTCTTCATGCTCTGATCTTCAAAATCTATAGATGGAATGGGTTGCAACGAAGCCGAGAGGCAACGTCGTTCCTCGTGCTGGTCATGCGAGTGTAATTGTTGGCCACAGGTGGTACATTGTAGGAGGAGAATACAGCGATAAAGGTAAATGCAGATTTTTCTTGGCAAATCGCATCTAAACTTTGGGCTTTGCAGAAATTATTGGAACTCTCCCGACCCAAACGTGGGCTGTTATTATGACTGTTTCACCAAACTCGCCCTTGGCAAACGATGTACGATATGTTTTCTGGTTTTGCAAGCTTGACTCTGGATTGTCAGGGAATTAGCATTGTGAGCGCTTAGCATCGTGGACTGAACTTTCTAATAACTTATGGTGGACACGTCTTTCGGCACAGCAATCTGGTAACTTCAAGTCTTGAAACTTTCTGGTGTTTACTTGCCACTATACTTCCAGCTCCAAACAGGTTTCAAGATTGAAAAGGCATCTCGACTACGCACCTTCTGGAGCCGCTTGATCAGCGGTAAAGCCCCGCGAAGAAAGATTCGCCACCCAGAAAGGAACTCGTCCCGTCCAGCTTCAGCTGTCGTAAGTTTTTCATTTCTCTCTTTCTTTTCGCGCCTCAATAACTTCTCTGCTATTACAGGAAACTTCAGCCTCCACAAACGGAGGAAGCCATGCAACGACCACAGCAACAACAGCGTCCTTTTCTTCCAAGTGACCTCAAAGTTGTGGAGTTCGTCAACAAGCCAGTGCCGACATCAGCAAGGCATTCCTGCGCGTCGGAGATCGAGGTCAACAACCAAGAAATGATAGAATCGCTGATGAAGAACAAACAAAAGATTGAGAACAAGCTGGAGGCTGCTCTGGAGCAGATTAGCAAACTGAAGCAGGATTTCGTCGCTCTCCAGAACAAGAACCTCGGAGATGGAGCATCAGATCATGCAAAGGAGGACCAGCAGCAGCAGCGAGACGATATACCAGAGCCGGAAGAGAAGCAGATAGTCGTCACCATATAAGCTTTCGACCAACTGGTACGTTTTTCTAAGATCATATCCGTGCGTACATTTCAGCAAGGCGCCACTCGGGAGCGCCAGAAACGCATCGAGGAACCCATCGCTCACTTTGTCGATGACTGCAGTGCCTACGAGCTTGCAGCTCCCATTCTCATCCATGGCGAATCCCTGGCCGCTCCCGTGCTCCCCACTGGAACTTCCCGTCGTGAGGAGCGTATCCACGACAAGAGCTGGAGCTCTATACACTGGACCTGCGGTGAAGAAAAACTCCGCGATGAATCTAAGCTCCACCTACAAGGGAGAGGCGTTGCGAGCTCGGTCGAGCCTCTCGGATGGTGCCAGTGTTTCTTCTCCGGCGCAGCTATCCCCGGCGAGCAGCGCAGCCAAATCCGTGAAGCTGGAAACTCTCAGTGGATGCAAGCTTGGGATTGCCTGGTATCCACATTTCGCTTACAACGCCGATGGTGGAGGAGGTAGCGCGTGCTTGGTGGAAGATTTGGAGCAGGGAAGATTGGCTGTGCGGTTCGACCCAAGCTCCGTTTCCATTCCAGCTAGTTTCTCCACCACCAAGTTGCTGGGACTTCCACTTCCACCTCCGCTACGTAAAGAGATCAAGCCTCTGGAAGGAGTGATTGATCGACACACAGGAAAGGTAAAGAAAAAAAGGAGAGCAGCCTCCTCTCTTCTCTTATCTAATGAACTTGCTGGTTACCCGAAAGGATGCTGTGCTCGCGGACAGGCATATCATCGACCACAAAAATTGAAGAGACAAAAAAAGTGTATAAAGGAAAAATATTTCATGAACTTTGGTGACATGGTTTCTCTAGCTTGCGACAAGAAACACACGCGAGGCTTGCAAATCTTCGAAAGATCGCCAACCACGCAAAGTCCACACAAAAGTTTAAGTTACCTCCAGCAAAAATTCGACAATGGTATACCGCGGCCCAAATAAGATTTCTATCTTCGACTTCTTCCGGTGTGGCACCGTCGGTGAGTTATCTCTGTTTTACGCTAGCGAAACCGAAGTCACGAACTTCGTCCGAACAAGCCTCTGGTGCCTGGAACACCAGAATCACAGAAAGGAAAGAAAAACGATAGAGGGTGTTGTGAACAGAGATGGTGTTTGTAGAGTTAGTCGAAGACGTCGAGTTAAAGCCTTGTGTGGATGCGCTTCCCAGAATCGACGGGAATGGTGAAGACGATGGCGCAGGAGAGAATGGCGAGGACGCGGGCGGCGTCGACGCAAATGGCGATGGAGCACTGGCAAATGGCGACGAGGACGCAGCTGGAGGAGCGAATGGCGATGGCGTGCTGCTAGCTGCGAATGGGGACGGGAAGGATGGCTGGAAACTAAACAGTGGGAACGACATAGCCCCCTCCAAGAACCCTAAAACCTAGCGCCAAAAGGATTGTTTGCAGGACGATGGATGTATAGATCGAATGGATCACGCCAAGCGCAGCGTCACAGCCGTCCAGGCCTTCGA